GTGGCTGGGACTACAGGCATGTGCCACCATGCCCGGCTCATTTTTTGTATATATATTAGTTGGCCAATTAATTTCTTTCTATTTATAGTAGAGACAGGGTCTCCCTCTTGCTCAGGCTGGTTTCAAACTCCTGACCTTGAGCAATCCACCCACCTCGGCCTCCCAGAGTGCTAGGATTACAGGCGTGAGCCACCGCGCCCGGCCAAGTGAAGTAACTTTTAAGAGAAGAAGGATCATGCTTTAGAAAGAACATTAATTAATCAGACACATTCAAAGTATTAGCCTGTCAATCACAACTCAAAATAAACAGCGATGCTTATTAAAAATATACAGACTTTTGTGCCTCCCGCTAGCCTTTCTGAATCAGAGTTTGAGAGGTAGTACCTAGGAGTCTGCATTTTAGTAGTTTCTTATATCCACTGAAATTCAAGAATAACTAAGATAGATGATTAAACTCCTTATAAAACAGATGCACACTACCAAAAAGGAGCACATAACTTTCAGTACATGACCCACTGTCAATTATAGTCTCATTTCTATGGACTTTGTTAGGGTTACTGCCAATCATCAAGTTCAATTAAATCCAATCATTAATTTCAAATAAGCCCAAACTTATTTTTTCTTTCATGAATTCACAAATTTGAAACTGCAATAAAAGGCAACATATCCATATATGCATGGAGAGGAATGCAAACATAATGAAAACAAATTACATAGCTGAATGTGAGTTTTCAATAAAAACAGGAAAAAATTCCTACCAAGGAACCTATTTCAATTACCAAACTTCTATGCTCACAGATTAAGGTTTGAAAAGTCTAGCTAAATAATGTATAATATTTCTTTAAAGATAAATATTAATAATTTATTTGAGGAACATTAACAAAAACAGATCATTGCTATTACTATCTCTAACATTACAGCAGAAGTACAGTTTAATTCCTAGTTTCAGGTACTTGGAAGGAATTAAATAAAAGAAATGGTAAGCCAGTTCACCTAACCTAATGCCAACAGGTGAACATAAATGAAAGACCATTTTAAGAGCTTTTCTTATACCATGTTAAAACAATTCACTTAATGCCTTGCTTACTTAAAATGCTGAGTCTAAAGAAAATCAAAATGGAAATGAAGCAACATCTTGTCTTGAGCAAG